CGTTGCTGTGCTCAGCGGCATTATCCATATGAGGGGTCAATGGACAGTATTGTGTTTTAAAATCAAATGGAATCAAATCAAATTCAACTAATTTTGATCAATGGAATGGGGGATTTGAGAAATCACAAATTCTTAGCAGGAATGTCTTGGAAGCTCCAGGCTCTTTGGATTGTATTACCAAATATGATGGGGGGTTCCGCATTTTGACATAGGCGGAGAAGGGAACGGCCTTTTGGCTTCAAGTTTGTACATTTTACTCATCAGACTTGAAGGGTTGAAAATGGTATGTCAATTGTGTATTCGTTTCATCGGGCTTCCTCGTATTCCTATAGAGTGCCCCATTAGTATATATAAAAGTACGTATGCCCCATCTACCCAGGTACTTGGTACGGAAGTCCCCAACACATGACTACACTATTTGATAGCATGTTGATTAGTACAAAGTAGTGTAAGATAAGATGATCGGTGAGTTTGTTTTAAGAGAATAAAAGAAATCGAAGATGATTAGCAGCTATATAAGCTAGATAATCATGTTAAATCATGACAGATCCAAGAGAGAATCCTAGATATTCTCATGTGAAGGTATTGTCTACCCGGGCCAAAGGTACATCATCTACTTGAAGGCGGTGTAATGTCTGGAGGGCTGGGCGGGGCAGAAAAAAACAGCGGGAAAAAAAAGACAAAGCTAGTGAGAACGACTTGGACTGCTTAGATACCCTTCGTGATTGACTTGGTGAACAAGTCAGAACGGAATTCTCACTTGAAAAGTTAAGGGTTCTCTTCTGATTACTTTGAACCCTCCGGCATACCCATTGTCGTGTCCCTTGATATCATGCCTTCTGCGGCCGATAATTTCGATCTGCCTCTTGCGAAGAGGCAGAAACGGGTATCGCAAGTTAATGCTGGAACACGTGGTTCCAAGATCTTTGCTCCTTTCCGTGTAAGTTGAGAGACACATTTGAATCGCTTCTTGTCTCTAAACTGACTTGTCGCTATAAAGACACTAGGATTGGTGTCACCAACACCCGTTCCTTTTACATCGGTGCGCCTAGGTAAATCGACCTTTCAAATCACAACCTCCGTTGGACACTCGCTGCAGACTTATGATTTGCGCCGGGGTTTGAACCTCATCTTTCTGACTCGACCCCAAACACCGGAGATCATCACGGCAACATGCGCGTGGCAGGATAAGGTATTCGCAGCTTGGGGCCATCTCCGATCGCAGTCCCCCGGAGGAGTCTGGGTTTTCAAGCGTGGCAAAAAGGTTGCAGAGCTTGAGGGTCCCGCAGACCTGAAGGGGCCCATTGAACGCCTGGTGGTGTTTGGTTCATGGGTGGTTGGTTGCTGGACCGGTGGGCTCGAGGTTTGGAAGACGGGCACATACGAGCATTATGCTAGTCTGCGGCCACAGTCTACTCGGGGTTCTTCTGGAGAGAAGATCTACACCGGGATTATGTGCAATATGCCGACTTATTTGAACAAGATATTCGTGGGCCGATCGGACGGAGCCGTCGATATCTGGAACCTCCGCAGTGGAAAACTTCTTCACACGTTGCCCGCTTTATCGTCAGATGCTGGGCCCGTGACTGCGATTCAGCCCACACCTGCTCTGTCTCTTATTGCCATTGCCTACAAGGGCGGTGCGTTGGCTATTCAGAACGTGAGCTCAGGTCAGCTGGTTTTGTCTCTCAAGAACGCATCATCCCGGGGTCTCCCCGTAACATCCATCACTTTCCGCAACGATGGACTGGGTGCTGGCCACGATGGCCGCAGCTCAGGTGTTATGGCCACCGCGTCAAGTGGTAGCGGCGATATCACACTCTGGGACTTGAATAATGGAGGTCGCATTGCAGGCATTCTTCGTGGAGCCCACCGGGTGTCAAGCGGCGAAAAGCCCATGGGCGCTAACCGTGTTGAGTTCCTGGATGGACAGCCCGTGCTCGTGTCATCCGGCGACGACAATTCTTTGAAGACTTGGATCTTCGACGAAACGCCATTCTCGCCCATTCCCAGACCTCTTCATAGAAGAAACGGACACTCCGCTGCCGTCAGCGCTCTCGATTTCCTGCCGACATCTTCAGATGGTTCCGAATCCGGCGGCAAGTGGCTTCTCAGTGCAAGCAAGGATTGCAGTCTCTGGGGCCTCAGTCTGCGCAAAGATAGCCAGCATACCGAGATCTCACAGGGTAGCTTGGAACGCAAGGCCAAGAAGGCAGGGCCATCCAACATCTCAAATACAGAGGATCTCAAAGCTCCCGAGGTTACATGTATTGCCTGCAGCCTCAACCGTGATGGCGGCATGGGAGTCACCACTTCCGGTCCGATCTGGTCGAACCCGAAGGTTACAAATGCCGACGCTTCCAATGCAACAGGCTGGGAAAGCGTGGTTACTGGTCACCGGGGCGACAAGTTCGCACGTACTTGGTTCTGGGGCAAGAAGAGAGCAGGCCGATGGGCGTTTGCAACCAGTGATGGAACAGAAGTCAAGGTGCGCAGGTTATTGAACATGATATGCAATTGTTCTCTTTTGCTAATATTCTTCATAGAGTGTGACGGTTTCGCAATGTGGAACTTTCGCTGTTATTGGATCAGCCGGAGGTGCTATCGACATGTTCAACATGCAGTCAGGCCAGCACCGACAAAGCTTCCCAGCTCGCCCCCCAGCTTCCCGTGGCGCCAAAGCCAATGCTCAGGTCTCGGCCGCTGCAGCCTTCAAACACACCAAAGCTGTGACTGGCTTGATGATTGACAGCTTGAACCGTACCGTTGTCAGCTGTGGCCTGGATGGCAAAGTCAAGGTACCCCCCGCCCCTTTTTTTTTTTCTTCTAGGGATTCACAAGTTGACTTTTCTGTAATATAGTTTTGGGATCTCCTCTCTGGAAAATTCCTTGATGAACTAGACTGGCACCCCATGGCTGCCATTACTGGACTTCGCTATAACAAGTCGAGCGAATTGATTGCCTTCAGCTGTGACGACCTCTCGATCCGTGTCATTGACCTCGAGACCAGAAAGCTCGTTCGTGAATTCTGGGGATGTGTTGGTCAGGTCAACGATTTCATCTTCTCAAATGATGGACGATGGATTGTTGCTGCCTCCATGGACTCGGTGGTCCGCGTATGGGACATGCCCACTGGGCATCTGATTGACATTTTCAGGGTCTCTAGCACATGTGTCGCTCTGGCCATGTCTTCAACGGGTGAATTCCTTGCCACCGCACACGCTGGTAGCATTGGCATCAGCCTTTGGAGCAATCGCAGCCTTTTCATGCCTGTGTCGACCAAGAATCTGGACGAGAACGTTATTGAGAACGTTGGACTCCCGGCAACCTCAGGGGAAGGCGGTGCTGGTCTTATTGAGGCCGCATTTGTGGATACTACCGAGCAAGATGAGGCAGAGGGCCCAGTACTGGCAACGGAACAACTACAACACGACATGATGACTCTCAGTCTTGTCCCTAAGAGCAGATGGCAGTCATTGATTCACCTAGACACTATTCGGGTATGTTTTTATTCCTGTACAAGTGCAATTCTCTAGCTAACAGTTCAACAGGAACGCAATCGCCCCAAGGAAGCTCCTAAGGCTCCCGAGAAGGCTCCGTTCTTCCTTCCTTCTCTCCTCAATTCCAGTGGACCCGAGACCGCCAGTGAAATCCCCGGCACCGAGGACGATGCTGCATTGCTGGCCAAAACCGCCGAAGCCGAAAGGATGCGGATTGCCAAGTTGCAAAATGGTGGAACTCCCAATGCTCCTCAATCTATTTTCACTCGATCATTGGCAGTCGGCCATGGTTCCGGTGACTTCAGCTCATTTATCGACCACCTCAAGACCTTATCTCCGGCCAAAGCAGATCTCGAGATCCGTTCACTGGATCCTCGAGTAGGTGATGGACACTCCGAGTTGTCCGATTTCGTTGTTGCCCTGACTGCTCGCCTGAAGTCCAAGAGAGACTTTGAGCTTGTCAATGCTTGGATGGCGGTCTTTTTGAAGATTCACGCCGACACTGTGAGTCTCAGCTCTACTCAGGATGAGCCTCAGTATCGTGTATTGCAAGATGCTCTCGCAACTTGGTCTGCTGAGCAGCAGCGGGAAGGAAAGCGCCTAGCTGAGCTGGTGGGCTACTGTCGCGGAGTGGTTGGATTCTTGCGATCTGCCCGGTAATTTAAAATGGACAGATCCATACTTGGATAAATATCCCTCGAGGCATAGAGTGCCTTTTGTTTTCTTTGTTATCTATCATGCTTGTTACGTTGAATCTATATATGCATTTGTTTTAAATCCAGTGATTTTGTAGGAACTTCTAAGGACTTCTGCTGGTCCTACCTACTTTGTCTGGTTTTCTTTCTCGGCACCTTCTGAGTTTATACATATTTTCATTTCCGGTTTAAAGAAGGATGATATCCAAAATCTCTCAAGTTGGAATCCAACGACCGCGGGCCTCACCATCCCTGACTAATACAAAAAATTTCCCAGGTTGGACCTAACAAAAAAAACAACCCACAATCAGAAGGGTTCTTACACGACATTGGCCATGGGGATCCCTCATTTAACCAGGCACCTTCTTCCATATGCCGAAAATGTCTTGTTAGATGGGAGGGAAATCGATTCAGAACTTCCGCGAGTCGAAGCCGTGGTCATCGACGGGCCCAGTCTAGTTTACCATACCTATCGCCGACTTTTGGGTTGGATGGATCCAAATGTTGATGTCCTTGACTACCAGCCAACCTGCGACGAAATCAGTCGTGGGGTGAGCAGCTTCCTTCTCCAATTAACCAGACTGGGAGTTAAAATGTAAGCCCTCGCACTAGTCTTCAACCCAGCTATCCTCTGATTATCAACTTTCTTTCTCTCCTACCCTTTAGACATAAGATATGCTTCGATGGTGCCTTACCCATCTCCAAGCGAGAAATCCGCTATTCCAGAATTGAAAAGTTACGACATCGACTGGATTTAGCTCGTCGAAACCTGTCTCTGCCTGCAACACCCAAATGTCGCGATGTGATGCCGACTAAACGAGGGCAGGTCTGGTGCAGTCGAGGCTTGCCTCAGCGACGAAAAGGCCTTCCAGAGAATCCTTTCATGGTATCCGCGGTCTTTGAAGACCTGCGGAACCGATGGAGCAAGGAAGAGATCCGGAAAGAGGTTGACGATGATATCAGCTGCCTTGCCGATACTGATTACCCCTGGGCTGAGATCACCGTCATGGTACCGGGAGAAGCAGATGTCGAGTGTGCCAGTGTGGCAAAACTTACCGGCTGTGCAGTGTTGACAGATGATTCGGATCTCCTACTTCACGATCTTGGCCAGCATGGCGCGGTCTTGTTTTTAGACTCAGTGCAAACGTCCTCGGGCGTCTGGGATCCAGCCGAACCCGATATTCGCGGGCTGAGAATCTGTCCCCATTCGCTTTCTGGTCGATTGGGCATCCCAAGCGTTCAGTGGTTTGCTTACGAGTTGCAAAGGAATGTTCACATGCGTTTTGCTGAACTTACCCGGATATCTCAGGAGAGCAGTAAGGCGACTGAGCTCTCCTCTGAATATCTGGAGTTTCTTCGAGAATACCAACACGAGACCACAGATAATGAGGTGATACGTGGAGCAAGGCAGTCATTACAGCCGTTGGATCCGAGGGTATCGGAGTTATTTTGGCAGTATGAACTTCCTGGTATCTACTGCTTGGACGAACAGCCGCACGTCTATCTCGGCATTCTGAACGAAGACTCTTCCAGGCGATGTGCCTGGGAACAAGGTCGAACATATAGGTCCCTTGGGTACTCGTTCTTCAACAATTCCCGTCCTGTTGCCAATCGCTTCGCGGCTGTACATGAATTTGTCCGCAGAGGCGGAAGGATCGTGGCCGAGGAGATCACTTTAAGCGGAACAAATACCGTGACCTCTGACCTGGATCTCGTCCGGAAACGTCTTGCCACAGCACATGCTGCCTTTGACGGCGGTCTGGCAGCGGAGAGCTTCTGGTATTTGTTTGCTCTTTCCGATATCTATCGTGATGGAGCCGGCACAACCACAGTTCCGAGTGCGAAGCAATTGGAGAGCTTTCTTACAAAGGGATATATGGTACAGAGTACCAAATGGACAGACATTCACCTCCTTGCTCAAATGCAGGCTGGACTGTACTCTTTACGAATACTGAAGCAACTTCTCGATATCGCTGCTCCTGGTGATAAATTGGTTGAATCCAGCTCACTACTCGCGGATTTACCTCCACTACACATAATGATGTCGCGACAGAGAATGACCCAGAGCTTCGTCAACACTCGTCTTGTCCGGCATGCGGTTCGTCAAATGATAGAAACATATGGTTAACAAATATGAACACACATTGCAAGCGAATGCACTACGTGCTTTACAAATTAAAGACCGCATGGTTCGCGAGCCCTTAGGGAAATGACGGTGGTCAGCTAGGAATTTGACATCCATTGGTCTTTGTAGATTACAAGCACATTTGCATTTCCGGTCGCCATATATGGAGAAGACGTAATTGCGCCACTGTATAACCTTGCCTGAGAAGCCCCGGGTCCTTCAAATGATTCATTCCATTGGCACATAGGTTTAAAGTACTAGAACCAGCCCTGGGAGGAGCGATGCTGCTGGTTCTCGGTGCAGTCATTTTGTTTGATCAGATACGGTCGGTTGACAGCATAATTTGGTCTTGCGTGTTGTGACCGGTTGATTGTCCGGTGTCTGGAGGCGAAAATTGTTATGTTATTTTACAACTTTCAGGAAAAGAAAGAAAAAGAGATTTTGGTGGGTATCATGTGGATGGTCGTGATGGCGACAGACGAATACAACGATAGATCGTTCAAGTCGCTCATTTTTCGGGGGCATCGGGAAGTCGTTCAATCACATATTTGCCACGAGCGACACTCATGATGGGTGCTCCAGGAATTTTGCTATTATGGATGTTAGAATTTGGCTGGTGCTGCGAAAATGAAGTCGAGCTGTAGGTTACATACCGAATGCGTCTCTTGAGATCACGATCGTTTGTGGCGATAATGTAGACACGGTGCTTGATGACACGATCAACCAGGCAGTCATCGGCATAGGTTCCCTTGTGGTCACACTTGACTCGCTCGAACCGGGGGTCCTTGGCTACACGCAGGGCAAGTCGGTATTTCGGGCCAAGCTTCTCCAACTCGGCAAGTACACAATCGGTAACGATAGGGATACATTTGGCGTACAAACAATCGAGCATGGTGGGGATGACCTCGAGTTTGTGCTGAATGGTGTGGGAGATGAAATTGGTATCGACCAGCACAGAGTATGGGGGGGCAAGGGCCGTGTTGAACTGGAAGAACATGGATGAAGGAGCTTGGGGGCTAGAACCGTACTTGTCAGTATGGTTTTTGCGACAGTATTGTATGATGTACTTACGCCTCTTTGACGAGGTCATCCTTCTTCGCTGCCTCTTTGCCTTTCTCTGTCTTGTCTTGATTTTGCTTCCTATAACCGGCTGTTAGCAAGTCGAAACAAAACTGTGTTTCGCGGTTGTGACAAACAGGCGATTATCGCGCATAGAAATGGCTCTCTTGGCCAGCGCATACTTGCGAGTCTTTTTCTGAACTCCCATGATGACGATATGTGGATGGTGATAAGTAGTGAAGAGGTTTTTTTTTTCTCTTTTCTTATCGGGGAAATCAATCTCGGGTTCGGGATGACTAATCGTGTCGATGGCCCCGATGACATCCCGCTTGTCAGCCCGCGGACAACCTTTGAAGGAACCTCTTGTCTTCAAATCGCTCTTGTACTCAGCAACACACCGTCAAACACTCATCATGTCCAAACCGGATGCAGACTTCGATATGGCGAAGGTAATTCCCCCTATTTCGGTGTTTGCAAGCAGCATCTATTGGCCTAGACTATGTTGCTAGGCGATCCCCTCTACTGATCCAAGACCGCACAGCTAACTCATGATATAGGTACTCGCAGATCTTACAAAGTAAGTGAGCCTGCATATAGCTTACATAAATAATTTCATGATATTGACATATATTTAGGGGTGAAATGACTGCCTCGGCCCTGGAGAATCATCTCAACACAATTGAAAGCCAAGTTGATGAACTATTGGCATCTTTCGAAAAGCAGGGTACTGCTGCAGCGGAGGCTACATCTGTCGATGAAACAAACTTGAGTCAATCGGGCACAAATCAGGATCAAAAAGCAGAACCGTCAAATAGTCCACCCAAGTGATATTGGCCATCGGATCCCTTCTCTACAACCCCGATCTCTGTGATAATCCCATCTATCAAACTCGCAGGAGTAATGTCGAATGCCGGGTTCCAGACATTGATCCCTGGCGCGGCAATTTGCACGGTCTCGATCGTAATCTGGTCGGTGGTCTCAGACCCCCCGGAGGGACCTTTGATGCTGGTCACCTCGGATGCTGCACGTTGCTCAATGACGATATCCTTGCCCGATTTTGTGGCCATATCAATGGTTGTGAGTGGTGCTGCAACAAGGAACTTGACACCGTGGTACTTTGCCAAGACAGCCAGCGCATAAGTGCCGATTTTGTTGGCTGTGTCACCATTGGCTGCTACCCTGTCCGCTCCCACCACAATTGCATTCACGCCCACTTCGGTATCTGCGAGCAAAGCGGCTGCCATAGAATCCGTGATGAGTGTAGCTGGAATTTTATCGTGAACCAACTCGAATGCTGTAAGGCGAGATCCCTGGTTGTAGGGCCTAGTCTCTGTGCAATAAGCGTGACGTAGGATGTTCTTCGAAGCCAGCGATCGAACCACGCCCAATGCTGTGCCATATCCAGAAGTGGCGAGAGAGCTAGAGACTCAGTGTTAGTGAGAACATACAACGGATAACGGATAGCGCAGTGGATCGGCCCTACCCAGTGTTGCAGTGAGTCAAAACAGCAACTTCTGAATTCCCCTTGGCTGCATGAGTGGCGATCCATTCTGCGCCATTGTGCCCAATTTTCTTGTTATCCTCGAGGTCCTTTCCCATCATATCCTCTGCTCCTTGAATAAACGTGGTTGCGACGTCGCGGCCAGTAGAGCCCGATGCTTTCGTGCGGTTGATCACTAGAGCCTCCAGCTTGCCTGCAGCGTCGGCGAGATTGACGGCAGTTGGTCTGCTCGTCACCAGATAAGCAAGCTTCTCTGTGATATATTGGCACACCTCTTCTGATGATTTTGAAAGTTTATTGCTATCCATCACAGAGGTCAGTTCCGCAGCGAGGGCAAGCATTGCTACAATAGCAATAGCAGGTGCCCCTCGGACTTTCATATCTTTGATAGCGTGCCATCCATCTTCTGTAGTCCGAATGGGAATGTATTTTTCGACAAATGGAAGTTGTAACTGATCCAGGATCTCAAGGTTGCCCTTGCTGAACTTGATTGCTTGCAACATCTTCGTAAAGAACAGTCAAAAATTCCGAAGATTTAGATGAGGCGCGAGGAAAGAACCTTAAAAAAAAGTGTCGCGGGGACGACCCCTCGGCGGGACAGGGCTCACTTGGGAAAGCTTACTTAATCAATGCCCCGGCCCCGGGAATAGTTACATGGATATAGGTACAATATGGGTACAACATTCCCAGGAACGTAGCTCCAACCTATAGGCAAGGATACTAAGCCATATCGGAGTCAAATATCATGTATTACTGCGCGAATGTACTTTGCATCAATTAAAACAGAGGTCAATGGCACATCGCCGCATCACCAAAAAAAACATTACCAAGCTGGTTGGGCAACAAATGATGAGCCCATGACATGGGCCAATGTTAAGCTCAATACAAAGCAGGGAAAAAAAAAAGAAACCCCTCAGGTACATAGCCTCCATAGCTTCAGGCTCGCAAGTCTGGTCAACTGCATCATAAGAGTTGGTCAATCACCATCTAGGCTTGTATTCTGTCCTCCTAGCTAGAAGGTTCCAAATCATTGCGATGGCACTCAAGGTGTGTCTTTCTTATCCACCTGCAGGTTGTCATAGGTGGGCCAAATCGCTAATATCGAACAGTGTATTTTCGGATCAACTGGAAGAGATGTAGAGTACTATAGGTTCTGATCAGAAAACTGTCGCGCCAGTCGTATGACGGTAAGACAAGAAGGGATTGACAGACCATTGTTTCCGCGCACGAAAGCATCCCCGTAATTTCGTCGTAGTTTTCCGTTCACGTATTCCTCGGTCTTTTCGAGGGCAATGTTCATGTAGCCATCAACTGATTGCAATTCACCTATAGGCGCATTAGAATTGAATCCACTGGGAATTGGAAGAAAAGCCCATACCCTTGTATACCACTCCGGAATTCAGCTTTACGATCACAGGCGCACCGATGATCTCACTCAAAAAGACAGAGGGGTCTTTCCCTTCAGAGGTTGGGGCGTTCTCCATATTGATGCTGTGGTCTGAAATTTATCAAATGTCAGCCAGAGCAAATTTCAAGGGAGAAAAAGGGGAGGCATACCAGGTTGAGATGTGCTTTGAAGTAGGCGGAGGGACGAAGCATTCGAAAGTGAGAGACCAGGAAGGCGGTGAGGGTGATGAACTATCGCAAGCGGGGCGGGATCTGCTGATAAGTTTTCGTACACCGCTATTGTATTCTGCCCATATTGCCGGTCATAAATAGTATACCTTTTATTAACTTCGCAAACAACGTTCAAAGTATTGAAATGGGTTGGTTCCTAAAGATATGAGTTAATCATAGCTATCTAATGTCAGCTCAAGGGAAAGCAAGAGGGTAGATGTCCTAGATTGTCAAATATTCCGCTGGTCAGAAAGTACCCTAGTGCAGTTTTAGTAGGCGGTAAATACGACGGTGTCCCACGAGGTTCCACTATGCCTATACCAAGTTCGGAAAGATGATGCATGTTCCCTTCACCTTGACTGCCAATTGTTTGGATCACGCCTAGGCCCTCATGTTACACTTTTTACTCCTTCACTAACATATCGCTGATTATAATCAGTGCCCCTCGAGTCATCTCTGAAATAGATTCTGTCATCTTACCATACTTGCATTTTTTACTTGACCAATTTCAGCCCTGAGAATCATGAGCTTTTTCAAAAAGCCCACGTGGGCAGTCAAGAGTACGGGGGAAACTGGCCCTGATTTTTATCGACGCTCAGAACAGACGTACTCTGATATCATTGCTGCGAACCGTGAAGCACACCAGAAGCAGCCGAAAGCACCGGAAATCCCAGGAGATGCCGAAGACACCGAAGATACCGAAGATACCGAAGACACAAAACGAAAGAAGCGCCGTCGACTTTCTGAAGAGAAAGGAAAAGGGCGCGCTGATAGTAGTCCAGTGCGCGATGTGACGCGCGAGGTTGATAGGGTTCAAATTGTGGTA